GAACGATCCACCCCCCCCCCAGGATTATAGGATTATAGGCGTGAGCCACCGCGCCCGGCCTCTTGTCTGTTTCTCTTAGTGTTTCTTTTGTTGTATTAGTTTTTCAGTTTCTGCCAGCTAAATATGCCTCATCTGTCTACAGACATAATCAAAAGCATATAGAATTTCAGTATTTTAAGGAATCTTAGAGACTAATCAAAATAGCCTCTAGTACTTCAACCTGTGTTTAACATCCTGGCCGAGTGGTTGATCAGATGGAGAACCTGAAACTCAAAGAGATTAAAGTGACTTAGTTGGATACAGAAAGTGGCAGAAATAAAACTGGAACTAAGGTTCCAGAATTAAGGTTCCTTAATTCAAAACCCAATACTCTTCTTGTATCATCCTGTCTGTGAGTATTTTAATAATAGAAGGTGGGAGTGGGCCTAGTGAGCCCAATGGAATAGGGTAAGAATGGAATTGGCTGATGAACCCAATGGAAGTAGATACCCATGGAATTAGCAGGGGAAGGCCAAGCTGGAAAAGAAACAACACTCAATTGTTTAGGAGTCAGAGTTTTAGAAAAGAGAACATGTTGGGTTTTATGACAAGTTTGATGAAGATTAATCATAGGAATGAAGACACAGTATGTTGGGAGTTGTCTAGAAAGGCATATTAAAATGAGAAGTTGAAGGGAGTCTTGAACTGGTTGCTGCTTATTTGCTTGTTAGCTGGAAGGACTGATGAACTTGGTTCCTATTGAAAGATGTTAAAAGAATTTGAGCCACTGGGAAGGGTCTCTACAGCAGATTGGAATCTACTTACACCTCAACTTACAGAGAGGTGGCCTAGAGCCTCTTGAGTATAGGGGGCTGGAGGTTGCTGAACTACATATATCTGTGGCCCAGGGTGAGTGTCCCCTCACCCTTGTCTCTTTTCCTAATTGACTGATGTCCTTGTCATGCACATGGTGGGTAGGGCAGGGGTAGGACTGGCTGATGAATCAGTCCCAGAGCTTCAGCTGGGCAGCTGGTAACATTCCTATCCTAGGGGTGCATGACTGAGACTCCATTTAGCTTGTCTTCCAGAAGCAGGGAAATAGAGAGCTCATATTGTAAGTCACTTGAGTACAACCTTCAGGAATCTGTGCTTTCTTAGGCTGAAGATGTAAAGGTTGAAGACTGCTCTGGAGCCCTGTAGAAGTACCTGGGAGTGGGAGCCCATAGGAAGGAAGAAGACTTGATAGTATGTAGCGAAATAGAGCTACAACTACTGGGATTCTGTTTTTCCAGCAGTCTCTCTCCTTTGGTAACTGAGTGTCTGTGAAGGTTTTTAGGGATTTGCTAATTTATGTGGACCTGAATAAGGCAGGACTTGTATAAGAAAAATAATCGTATTTTTAAATTTTTAATCTTTCTGTGAGGAATATTCTGAATAACACATACACATTTCTTCTTTGATTTTTGTACATTTAACTGCCAAACATTTCAAATGTTTCCCAGGACCCTGTACATTTTTAGGGTAAAGGGAACAGTGGGGCTTTCTTAAGTGGCTTCCATACTGAAGAACCAAGACTGCCATTTTCAAGTGACACAGATTAGTCTTAAAACCAGAGAGAGATAATGGAGAAAGGGCCATTGTATCTTTCTACCTTGTTTTAGCTTGTCAGTTTTGTTCCAGTTCAGGTAACAAAAGTTATGTCAGCCATTAATTGGATTTTCAGTTTAGCCTTTAGTACAGACAATTTGTTAATACAGATTATTCTCAGGGGCTGCTATTATATTGGCTGTCACTACTGGTTGTGGAACGAAGTGTGTCCTCATTACATATTTCATAGGGTGGGAGAGATGGAGAGATGGAGGCAGTAATACATAACTAAAATCATTTGATAAAACAAAAGTCAAATTTAATTGTATCAAGAGACATTATTCAGTATACAGATAGCTGACCTTTTCCAAGATAAGAACTGGCAGATTATGTTCTTTAAAGAAACGAGCTCACTCAATTTTTGTTATGTTTTGCTCTAAAGGCTTCCTGGCACTCTGGATGTTGATGATGATAAATGGGGTACAAGAGAGAATGAAGACACTGATTTTGATACCAAGGTATAGTTGTTTCTTGTGAAGTTAATTTTCTTACTCTAAATCTAGTTTTGTGTAGTATTTATTGTTAAAATTTAGCAGTGGTCTACCTATGATCATTTTATGATTCTAATGAAAAGTCGGTCAGAGAGAACTATTTTATAGAAATCTGACTAGTTAAATGTTTTAAAATTTTGTTTTACATTGGTAAATAACAAAGGATTGATAAATACATTGAGGGTGTTAGGGTTAAAAAAGAATGTGCTGAAAAATGCATAATGAGAGGAAAATTATGTTAGGGAAATCTTTCCCACAATTGAGGAAATACGAAATTTAGTCAAGGTTTACTTGCATAAGTATTCTTACTATGACTTTTGTATCATATTAACATGACTTTTATAATAATTTTGCCTAAATAAATCTTTATTGGATCTAAATACTTATTGTAGTAATCATGGAATCTCCGTGCTACCTTTCAGTTCCCCAATTGTACAGCACATGGCATGTAGGTTCCTTTTTTTTCTTGGACACTTATTGTTTGGTGTCATATAGGTTTTAGGAGAGAACTTTTTTTGTTATCTTTTTCTATTCATGGTTTTCTAATTAGACTAAGTAATACTGGAAATTGTGGAAGTTTAGCTGAGCATCTTAGCACATACCTGTAATTGCGGCTACTCAGGAGGCTGAGGTGAGAGGATTGCTTAATTCCAGGAGGTTGATGCCACCCTGAGCACTATAGCAAGACTCCATCTGCAATTTAAAAAAAGATAAATACTGTTAAGTTCATTTTTCAGTCTGTTTTCTTCTCTCCTCCTGTGAATGTTGGGTGCTGCTTGACAGTCATAGCTGTATTCGAAGACTTCTAAATCTTTGACCGGGATAATCTTAGTATTTTTTATGCTAGATTCTTTCTCCAGTTAACTACCATGTGGTATAAATAGGCAGGTAGAGCTATTAGCATGTTGTCGACAGGTTTATAAGAAAACTATGTGAATTTCAAAGTAGGTTTTTCTTACATCATAGTAATATTTAAATATGCCTCATAATTATCTAATCACAAACATTTCTGTTCTCCAGGTTAAAATTTTTAAAATGAATGTTTACAAAGCAGTATTCTTGCAGCATCTTGAATTAATGTTTTAGAATTAAATCTTTTTGTTCAATTTAAATATGCATAATGCTATAATATTCTAGAAATAAGTATTTGCCTATATTAATAAAATATATATTATATGCTTAAAAAATGTTGAAAAATGTACTTGAAAAACTGAATCCCATGCTTTTTTCTCCTTCCTCTCGTTTTCATTTTCCAAATTCAGAGTTCTGTATAGGTTTGCATTATTTAATTCTGCCAGCTTAGTATATCTTGCAAATACTTATTTTCTTTAACACTGTATGCTTTTCCAGTGTTTGGTCATCTACTTCTATTCCAAATGTATTTATTCAGATTTGTGTTTTTAGTCCTCTGGATGCTTCAAGTTTGATATGTCTCAAACTGAAGACACTGTTCTTGACCCTTTCCTGACTCTTTGTTGACCCTTTGTAACCTACTCTGTCATCTGGTTTCCTCATCCTAGTGAATGACACCTAATAAAGAGAACTGAAAGATTGAAGCAGGAAAAACTCCTACGCTCCAGCCCTCACTCAAATCACCAGTCCAGTCACTCACCACGTTCTGTATTTTCTACCTGATTACCAATTTTCATGTCTTCCTACTGTAATTCACTCATTGACCTATGATCTAGAAATACTCTTTCCTAGTTTTGCCTCCCTCTACGTTCGTCTGTATTGACTTTGCTGCCAGGCTGACATTTCTCAATTATACCTGTGATGATCTAACTCATCTGCTTATTGTGTGGACCCTACTGCATGAAGGGGAAAGGTCACATTCTGGCATGACACATGTCTTTTGCAATTTGACCTGATTCTTCCAATTTCTCTCTCTATCCCATTTCTTACAACTATATTCTAGTTTTACCACATGACTTTGGTACCTCTCATTTGCCCTGTTTTTCATGCTTCATCTTTCTGCTCACACTCCCCTGTCTAGAAAACCCTTCACACTCTCACTCTGCACTTTGTGTCTTTCAAAATATGACCCTGTCTTTGCAGCATTTCTTGAGCTTCCCCAGGAGAACTGATGTTCTCTCCTTTGTGCCTTTACTGGGCTTTATTTATTTTAATTATAGAACTAGTGAATTATACTTTTCTTTCTTTCTTTCTTTTTCCTTTTTTCTTTCTTTCTTTTTTTTTTCTTTTTGAGACAGAGTCTCACTTTGTTGCCCAGGCTAGAGTGAGTGCTGTGGCATCAGCCTAGCTCACAGCAACCTCAAACTCCTGGGCTCAAGCAATCCTGCTGCCTCAGCCTCCCGAGTAGCTGGGACTACAGGCATGCGCCACCATGCCCAGCTAAATTTTTCTATATATATAAGTTGGCCAATTAATTTCTTTCTATTTATAGTAGAGACAGGGTCTCGCTCTTGCTCAGGATGGTTTCCAACTCCTGACCTGGAGCAATCCGCCCGCCTTGGCCTCCCAGAGTGCTAGGATTATAGGCGTGAGTCACTGCGCCCGGCCTATACTTTTCTTATTTGTTTTCATATATCTATACCCCCACTGAAATACAGAACACAGTCTGTTTTCTATTTCTATATACAGATTCTCCCAGGATAGTGCCCGTGATTTGATAAAGACAGTAAATGTCTGTTAATTTACTGACTGAGTGGGTGTGTAAGTGTATAAACACATTTTCTGAACTTTTTTTTTAATAGATGGGAGCAAGAAAGCAAACAATTGGAAGTCAAGAAACTGGTATTATTATTGATGAAAGTGCCTCACAAAAGCAAACAAGTAATGACAATTTTATTTTTCTGTTCAAAAATAATAGAGGTGGTAAGTTAGGAAATGTCTTTGAAAAAACTTTAATGCTAAAATGATATCATAAAAAATTAACATGCTTAGACACAAACATAATATGCATTTCTTTTAAATATTATTACAATTTTTCTGCAGCATATTTCCATCATGTGCTTTCCCAATGAACTAAAAGAAAACCCGAATTATGATCATTTTCAAAGTCAAGCATGAGGATTCAGCTTGCCACTAACTCTCCATGAATGTAAGATTGGCTTTGCCATGTTTACATTTACATAATCGTTAACATTGATTGTCCCTTTGTTTTATAGGGTCTACAGAGGAACATCCTCCCTTGAAGGTAATAACACGTATATTTTTATCTCAAATTATTTACTACCTATCCTGTGAAATATACCTTATTTATAAAATACTTTGTTTCAAACCCCATTCAGACATCCATTGAAATGAAAGAATCTGTTCCAGAGAAAGGAATAGGAATGACGAATATACAAACATCCAGATTAGGTAAAATTTTTTTTTTAAGAAAGAGGACCTACTCTTTTATAGAGGATGAAGTACAATTTGGCAGTCATAGCTCACTGCAACTTCTAAGCCCTGTGCTTAAGTGATCCTCCTGCCTCAGCCAGCTGAGTAGCTGAGCTACGTTTGTCATTTTTTTCTTTTTCTGTAGAAACCAGTTCTCACTATGTTGCACAGTGTGGTAACAAAGTCCTGGACTCAAGGGATCCTTCCCCTCCAGCCTCCACAAGTGTTGGTATTGCAGGCGTGATCCATGGTGCTGGGCCCAGATCAGGTAAATTTTGCAATAGAAATTGCTGGAAAGAATTACATTAAAATTTAGAAGTGATCACAGTCTTCTCATTCCTAATTCTTTTTTCCCAAATGCGATGGAAAAAATTGACATAAATAATGCAAATGTAATTGTTGCTATCCATATTTGAAAAAAAAGCTGTGCGTCTGTTTTCGTGTGTGCGTGTAGGGGTGGCATTGGGATTATTACAAATGAGAAAAGTAATTAATCATTTCTGAATGGCAATTTGGTAGACACAGTCTTTTAAAACAGCAATTTTTAAATATTTTAGCCTTTGGGTCCTTTTATACTACTGAAAGTTACTGCATAGAAGTAACCAGCGTGCAGAATTAGGTGTATATCGTTCCTATTCACTTTCAAACTTTTGGACTACCTATATGTGTGTTCAGAAATATTATGTAGTTTTTGTTTTCATGTCCTAAGTGCTTATATAAATGGCTGTACACTGCATATATTATTCTAAAAAATTTATTTCGTGTGCTCAGCATTATATTATTGAGATCTATCCATATTGACATAAGCAGCTCTGGTTTAATTAACTTGTTAGTTAATTAATTACACACAGGGTCTGGCTACGTTTCCAGGCCAGAGTGCAATGTCTTCATTGTAGATCTCTGCAACTTTGAACTAGTGGGCTCAAGTGATCCTCTGCCTCTGCCTCCTGAGTACGTGGGACTACAGTAACATACCACCATGCCCTACTAATTTCTTTACTTATCGTAGAGGTGGGATATCTCTAGGTAGCCCAGGCTTGTTTCAACCTTCTGATCGCAAATGGTATTTCTGTCTAGTCCTCCAAATGTGCTAGCATTACAGGTATGAGCCACCACACCCATCTTAATTGTCTGCCAGAGAGTTATTTCATAAAAATCCTTAAGAGACTAGTAAGATATAGCGTAGCAAACTAATGTTCAAAACAGAAATAATAGAGCTCATTCCTTGAACTCTATTTTTATTATCAATACATTTTACACTGAGTTTGAAATATAAAAAGTTACTAATAGCTAATAACTCTGTGGCAATTCAGGGTTTTTTTTGTTAAATAATTCAATATTGAGCCCTCAGTATGCATTATTTCTTAGATAGGTTTCATATATATTCTTGTATGAGTAGGTGAAAAAACTTTAAGATGGTTAAACTAGAGGGTGAACGAAATGTAGGCCAGGGCTACAACTATGTAGGAAAGCCCTTTTTTCCCCAAGAGCTCAAAAAGAGAGTTTTCTATGCAATTCCAGGTGGAACAGTCTCACACCTGTCTTCATGGAGCATGAATCAACTAGGCTTCCCTGAGCCACTCCTCCTTCTGGGTTTCTATGGGAATTCTCCCGCATGTGATAGAGCCAGGGGCCCCTGAGGTGGAAGCTCAGCTGTCAATCAGTAAATAGAGCAGGGTAAGGGCTGAAAAAGGTTTGCTGAGCAGTGACCCTGCCAGCTACCTCTGCAAGATCGAGGAATCTCTGTACCTTTTAGGGCATCATAATGTGATTTTATGAGACTACAATTTTTTCAGTGTTTCAAACGCTTGTTAGAATTCTGATCTTTACCTGGAGGAAAGCTTTGCTTATTAACATGTGAATTCTGCTTTGTCATTAATTATTTCATCATAGTATTGTACTGATGGTTTTATGCAAATCAGATATTCTCATTACAAGGCTGTGTGTGTGTGTTTGTGTGTGCTATCTTTGATTATTATAAATGAGGAAAGTAATTAATCATTTCTTAATGACAGTTTGGTAGACACAGTCTTTTAAAATAGCAGTTCTTAAATATTTTAGCCTTTCGGTCCTTTTATACTACTGAAACTTACTGTGTAGAAGTAACCAGTACCCACATTGAGGTATTTATCATCCTGTACACTTTCAAACCTTTGTACTACATATGTGTATGGTCAGAATTATTATATAGTTTTTGTTTTCATATCCTAAAATTTTATATAAATGGTTGTACACTATATATATTATTGTAACATTTGTTTTATTTGCTAAGCATTATGTAACTGAGATCTCTCCATGTTGACACAATAAACTCTGTTTAATTAACTAGTTAGTTAATTAATTAGAGACAGGGTCTGGCTATTTTTCCCAGGCTAGAGTGCAGTGTCTTCATCATAGATCCCTGCAACCTTGAACTACTGGGCTCAAGTGATCATCCTGCCCCAGCCTCCCAAGTACCTGGGACTACAGTAACATATCACCATGCTCCACTAATTTCTTTACATTTGTAGAGGTGGAGTATTTCTATGTTGCCCATGCTTGTCTAAACCTCATGGCTGTACATGATACTTCTGTCTCATTCTCCAAGTGTGCTAGGATTATAGGTGTAAACCACTGTGCCCATCCTAATTTACTGCTAGAGAGCTATTTCATAAAAATCCCTAAGACACTAGTAAGATATACCAAACCAAAGTAATTTTAGAAACAAAAATTATAGAGCTCATTCCTTGAACTCCATTGTTATTATCAATGAATATTGCACTGGTTTTGAAATATAAAAAGTTATTAATTGCTAATAATTCTGTGCCAATTCAATTTTTTCCTTTTTGAAAAATAACTCAAGGTTGAGAGCTTAGCATACATTATTTCTTACATATGTTTCATATATATTCTTGCATGAGTGAGTGAAGAAACTGTAATAAGTGACTAAGCTAAAGGATATGAGAAATATATGGAAACTGGTTGCCCACATGGGTATGGAAAAAAATGAATATGTGTATTAACTGTTATTCTACAAGTATATGTACAAGATGATCCATTAAAAACTCTTTCTCTAATGAAGAATTAATGATACATTGACCTACAGTGTGTTCATAACTATGTACTTCTGAAATCACAGGACAAGTGAAGAACATGATAAATACTTGTATTATAATATAAATAACTCTGATTGTTGCATTAAAGATAGGCTATAGCCTTCTGCTATCGGCTTTGACATTTATCCTCATGGGATCATAATTTGCTGCTTGGAATAAAGATCACTGTTGACTTCATCAATCAGGATGTTCACATTGGTATAGGTTCATATTTCTATTTAGTTGTAGTAATTAGAAACATAATCTCACTAATGAAATTTTGACTACATGTTGGAGAACACTTATATTCCTATTTTTCTTTGAAAAATTTTCCTCATGTTGCTGTCCTAATAAAAAATATCCCAAACCCTAACGATTTTCAAAGCTATGTGTGAAGATTCAGTTTGAGACTAACTCTCCATGAATGCATCGTGGGCTTTGCCATGTTTACATTTATATAATCATTAGCGTTAATTGTATGTCCCTTTTGCTTTTTAGGGTCTTCTGAGAAACAACCTCCCTCGAAGGTAATAACATGTATATTTTATTTTGATTTATTCACTACATATTGTATGAAATATAGATTATTTATGAAACACTCTGTTTGCAACCCCATTCAGCCAGCCACTGAAATGAAAGAATCTGTTCCAGAGAGAGCACTAGGAACAAAGAACATACAAATATCCAGACCAGGTAAATACCTTTGTTGAGAAGTAGAATCTCACTGTGTTATCCAGGCTGAAGTGTGGTTGTGCAATCATAGCTCACTGCAACATGGGAGTCCTGTGCTCAAGGATAGGACTTGTCCTGCCTCAGCCTGTGGAGGAGCTGAGGTATGGGCTCCTGCCATGCAGCTGAACTAATTGTGACTTTTTTCCTGTAGAGATCTTCTCTCCCCTTCCCCTACGAGCTGGTGGCAAAGTCCTCGACTCAAGGCATCCTTCCCCTGTGGCCTCCCTGAGTGCTGATATTGTAGGTGGGATCCAAGGTGCTGGGCCCAGATCAGGTAAATTTTGTAATGCAAATTTTGGTCTGGAAAGAATTGGAAATGCTTATAGTCTGCTCATAATTGTTTTTCCCAAATTTGATGGAAGGATTTGCCATAAATAATGCAAATGTTATTATTTGTTTCCATAGTTAAAATAAGATGTTTATAAGCATAACAGAACAAATTTTAAAAAAAAACGAAGTTTCCTACTTTTTCTTTTTTTTTTTTGAGATAGAGTCTCACTTTGTTAGCCAGGCTAGAGTGAGTGCCTTACCATCAGCCAGCCAAGCTCACAGCAACCTCAAGCTCCTGGGCTCAAGCGATCCTCCTGCCTCAGCCTCCCGAGTAGCTGGGACTACAGGCATGTGCCACCATGCCGGGCTAATTTTTTCTATATATATTAGTTGGCCAATTACTTTCTTTCTATTTATAGTAGAGACAGGGTCTCGCTCTTGCTCAGGCTGGTTTCCAGCTCCTGACTTTGAGCTATCTGCCTGCCTCGGCCTCCCAGAGTGCTAGGATTACAGGCGTGAGCCACCACGCCCAGCCATTAGATATGTTTTATATAGGGTTTTGCATGAGTGGCTGAAGAAACTTTATGATGGCTAAGGTTAAAGCAGCAAGACATACAGGAATAGCAGTAGCCCGCATGTGTGTGGAAAAAAGGAATATTTGTACGACCTATTACTGTGCAAATGTATGTCTAGGCCAATGAATTGACAACAGTTTCTCTAATGTGAAATTGATTATACATTCACTTGAAGTGTGTTCATACCTGTGTACTTCTAAAATTACAAAAGAAACTGAAGAGCATGATAAATAGTTGTAGTGAGATGATATAAATGATCCTGATGTGTTGCGTTAAAGACATGCTGCAGCCTTAGGCCTTTGGATTTGACCTTTATCCTCTCAGGGTCATCATTTGCTTCTTGGAACGAAGATCACTGTTTTCTTCATTGACAAGCATGTTCTAATTGGTATAGGTGTACATTTCTGTTTTGGTTAAAATTATTTGAAAAGTAATCTCACTCATGAGATTTTAATTTCATGCCGGAGAACACCTCCACCTCCATATTTCATCAGCATATTTCTCTCATGTTGCTGTCCTAACATCTGAGAGATGCGGCAAACAGTGTTGAGTGAAAGGGCATACCTTTAACCTTTGCTAAGTAAAGGCAAAATTATAAAGTCTAACCAAAATGTTATAAAAAAAGAAACATTTATTGGGTGTTGGGCAGGTGGGGGGAGAGGGGATGGATTTATATATATACATTATAAGTGCATTGTGCATTGTCGGGGGTATGGACATGCTTGAAGCTCTGACTCAAGGGGGGAGGGAAGGCAATAGCAATGTATGTAACCTTAACATTTGTACCCCCTTATTATGCTGAAATAAAAAAAATGATTACAAAAGTGATCCATGTTAACAAAAATATTTATACCCCCGTAATACTTTGAAATAAAAAAAATCCATCAATAATAATAAAAAAAAAACAAACCAAAAAAACTTTACCATTTTCAAAGCCCTGTATGAGGTTTCAGATTGAGACTAAGTTTTTTAGAATGTAAGGTTGGCTTTGCCATGTTTACATTTATATACTCATTAGCATAAATTGTATTTCCGTTTTCCTTTTCAGGGTCTTCGGAGAAACAACCTCCCTTGAAGGTAATAACATGTATATTTTATCTTGAAATATTGAGTACATATTATATGAAATATAGATCATTTATGAAACACTTTGTTTGCAACCCCATTCAGCCAACCACTGAAATAAAAGAATCCATTCCAGAGAGAGCACTAGGAACAAAGAACATACAAACATCCAGACCAGGTAAATACCTCTGTTGAGAGGTAGAATCTCACTGTGTTATCCAGGCTGAAGTGTGGTTGTGCAATCATAGCTCACTGCAACATGGAAGTCCTGTGCTCAAGGGATCCCCCTGCCTCAGCCTGCTGAGGAAATGAGATATGGGCTCCTGCTTCGAAGCTGAACTAATTGTGACTTTTTTCCTGTAGAGATCTTCTCTCCCCTTCCCCTACGAGCTGGTGGCAAAGTCCTGGACTCAAGGCGTCCTTCCCCTGTGGCCTCCGTGAGTGCTGATATTGTAGGCGGGATCCAAGGTGCTGGGCCCAGATCAGGTAAATTTTGTGATGCAAATTTTGGCCTGGAAGGAAGTACATTAAAATTTAGCAGTGCTTATAGTCTACTCATTCATACTTGTTTTTCTAAATCTGATGGAAAGATTTTCCATAAATAATGCAAATGTTATTATTTGTTTCCATATTTGAAATAAGATGTTTACAAGCATAGGAAAACAAATTTAAAAAACCTAATTTTTTGCTAATATGTTATCTACTTTTAAGTTCTGACCCTCTAAGGTCCATATTTCGAATCTCTATAGTTGTTAGGGAGTCATAGAGTGAACAATGACACAGTTTTTTCCTGTGTTTCAAATGCTTGTTAAAATTCTTTTTTTTTTTATGAGAGAATATATTTTTTCTTTTTTAAATCAGGACAGTAAGGCGGGTGTTATAAACATTTTGGTTACATGAATGCATTTGCCTCACTCAAGCCAGGGCTACAAGCGTGTCCTTCCCGTATATATACAGTATGCCCCATTTCCATAAGCTGTAGATTTACCCACCTACCCAGTCTTCCTCCAACTCTGACCCCCCCCAACTGAGCAGCACCCAGTGAGTATTACTACCATGAGAGCACCTTAGTATTTCAGTTTGATGGCGAGTACATGTGGTGTATGATTTCCATCCATGGAATACCTCACTTTGCAGGAAGGGATCAATCTCTATCCAGGATAAAATAAGAAGTGCTAGATCAGCATTGATTTTTGTAGTTGAGTAGTATTTCATGGTATATATATATATACATATATATAACTTTTATTGATCCACACATGCATTGATGGGCTTTAGGTTGTTTCCACATCTTTGTAAGTGTAAATTGTGCTGCTCTAAACACTCAAGTGCAGATGTCTTTATTATAGAATGTCCTTTTTTCCCGTTGGATAAATGCCTAGGAGTGGGATTGTTAGATAAAATGGTATTTCTATGTTTAGCTGTTTGAGGTATCTACAAACTACTTTCAACAGGGGTTGTACTAATTTGCAGTCCCACCAGCAGTGTAAACATGTTCTTATCTCTCCACATTCACACCAGCATTTGTTATATGGGACTTTTTGATAGAGACCATTCTCCCTAGAGTTAGTTGATTTCTCATCGTAGTTTTGATTTTCATTTCCATAATGATTGGAGATGTTGAACACTTTTTTATATGTTTGCTGACCATTCATCTGTCTCCTTTTGAAAAGTTTCTGTCCAGGTTCTTTGCCTATTTATTGATGGGGTTGTGTGATTTTTTTCTTGTTGATTTTCACAAGTTCTATATAGATTCTTCTTATCTGCCCTTTATCGGGTGTGTAGAAAGCAAATATGTTCTTCCATTCTATAGGTTGTCTATTCGTACTAATGACAGTTTTCTTGGCTGTGTAGAAGCTTTTTAATTTGATAAGGTCCCATTTGTTTATTTTTGTTGCTGCTGCAATTGCTTTGGGGGGTCTGCTTCAAAAATTCTTTCCCTAAGCCCATGTATAAAAGAGTCTTCCACACATTTTCTTCCAGACTTAACGTTTCAGGTTTAAGTTTGTTACACAATGTGAGATGATTTTTGTGAGAGGAGAGAGGTAGGGATCCCATTTCAATCTTCTACATGTGGATATCCAGTTTCCTCAGTACCACTTATTGAAAAGAGATTCTTTTCCCCGATGTATACTTTTGTCTGCTTTGTCAAATATTAGATGACAATATGAGGATGATTGTATATCTGGGCTGTTTGTCCTATTCCAAATGTCTATATCTCTGTTCTTTTGCCATTACCATGGTGTTTAGGTTACTATAGCCTTGTAGCAAAGTTTGAAGTCTGGCAGAGTGATGACTCCCCATTTGTTCTTTTGCTTAAGACTGCTTTGGCTATACAAGGTCTTCTCTGGTTGCAGACGAAGCGTAGAGTCAGTTTTTCTAAATCTGTAAAGAATGATGGTGGAATTTTGATAGAGATTGCATTAATTCTGCAGATCACTTAAGGTAGAATGGACATTTTAACAATATTGATTGTACCAAATCAGGAGTATGGTAGGGATTTCCATCTGTGCACAGCGTCTACAATTTCCTTTCTCAGTGTTCATAGTTTTCTGCATAAATATCTCTCATCCCATTCGTTTAATATACCTAAATATTTAATTTTCTTTGATGTTATTGTGACAGGTGTTGCATCTTTGATTTGATTTTTGGCTGTCTGTTATTGACTTATATGTATGCCACTGATTTGTGTCCATTAATTATTTTATCCAATGTCTTTACCGAATTCATTTATAAATCCCAGGTGTCTCTTGGTTTAATGCTTGGGATTGTCTAGGTATAATACCATATCATCAGCCAAGAGTGAGAGTTTGACCTCCACTGCCCCCATTCACACACCCTTAATTACCTTCTCTTGTCTGATTGCTCTAGCAAGGTCCTCCAGCAGTATGTTGAATAGAAGTGGAGATAGTGGGCAGCCTAGTCTGTTTCCAGTTCTAAGTGGGAATGCTTTCACTTTTTCCCAATTCAGTATGATATTGGCTGTGGGTTTATCATATATAGCCTTAATAATTTTAAGGAATGTCCCAATTATGCTTCTTTTTCTAAGGGTTTTTATCATAAAAATGTGCTGCATTATATCAGTTGCTTTTTCTGTGTCTGTTCTCAGTTTTATTTATGTGGTGAATTACATTTATAGATTTGGGTATGTTGAACCAGCCCTGCATCACTGGATAAAGCCCACCTGGTCATGGTGAATTATTTTTGTGATGTGCTGTTGGATTTGGTTTGATAATATTTTGTGGATGATTTTGGCATCTACACTTATGAAGGGCATTGGTCTGTCATTTTCTTTTTTTTGCTACATCCTTTCCTGGCCTTGATATCTGGATGATATTGGCTTTGTGGAATGTGTTGGGGAGGATAGCATCATTCCCAATGCTTTGCAATAATTTCTGCAGTAGGTAGGAGTTCTTCTTTGTAAGTTTGGTAAAATTCAAGTGTAAGTCCATCTGGTCGGGCCTTTTTTGTTGGAAGATTTTTTTATTGCTGCTCCAATTTCTGGGCTTGATATCGGTCTATTCAGCAGTTCTATTTCCTCCTGATTGAGGTTGTTGACACTAAATGTTCCCAAGAATTTGTCTATTTCCTCCAGATTTTGTAGTTTTTGGACATATCTGAACTTAACAAAGATGAAACCATTCCTACCCTCGTGTCATCTGTATTTTAACATTTAATTATTTCATCATATTATTTTTATACTGATGATTTTAACCCAATCAGATATTCTGACTAGGATGCTTGGTATGTGTGTGTGTGTGTGTGTGTGATGTGTGCTGTGTGTGATTATTACAAAAGAAGAAAGTAACTAATCATTTCTTAATGACAATTTAGTAAAGACAGTGTTTTCAACAGCAGTTCTTAAATATCTTGCCCTTTGGGTCCTGTTTGGGTGGCATTATATTAATGTGGTCTAGCTATATTGACACAAGAAACTGTGGTTCAGGTAATTAATTAATTACAGACAGGGTCTCTCTAGTTCCCCAGGCTGGAATGCCATGTCTTTGTCATAGATTCCTGCAAATTTTGACTATAGCACTCAGTCAATCTTCCTGCCTCAGATTTCCAAGTACATGGGACTACATTAGCATGCTACCATGCCCCACTAACAACTTTACTTTTTGTAGAGGTGGTGTCCCACTGTGTTGCCCTGGCTTGTCTCAACCACCTGGCTGCAATGATACTTTTGCCTTTGCTTTCAAAGGAGCTAGTATTACAAGTGTGAGCCAGCATACTCCTGCTAATTTTCTCCTAAAGAGCTATTTCACAAAAAATCTGAACATACTGATAAGATATACCAAAACAAACTGAATATAGAAAGAAAAATTACAGAGTTCATTCCTTCAAGGCCATTATTTCTATCAATACATTTTACATTGAATTTGGAATATAAAAAGTCATGATTAGCTAATAATTCATTGGCTATTTAATTTTTTGGTCAATAATTCAATATTGAGAGGTTAGCATACATTATTTTTTAGATTTGCTTTATATATGGGTTTTACATGAGTGGCTGAAGAAAGTTTAAGATGATTAATGTTTAAGAAGCAAGACATGTAGGAGTACTGGTATCCTACATGTTTGTGGAAAAAAGGAATATTGTATTAACTGCTATTGTGCAAGTGTATGTCCAGGCTGATAAATTGACAACAGTGTCTCTAATGTGAAATTGATTATACATTGACCTGAAGTGAGTTCACACCTGTGTACTTCTAAAATTATGAAACTGAAGAACTTGAGAAATAGCTATACTCAGATGATGTAAATGATCCTGATATGTTGCATTAAAGATAACACTGGAGCCTTCAGCCATTGGCTTTGACCTTTATCCTCTAAGTGTCATGATACAATTCTTGGAATAAAATCACTGTTTTCTTCATGGAGTAGCATGTTCAAATTGGTATAAGTGTACATTTCCATTTTAACTAAGATTACTTGAAAAGCAATTTCACTTATGGGATTTTAACTTCATGCTGTAAAACACCTACCCCTCTAATTTTAATCAGCATATTTCTCTCCTGTTGCTGTCCTAACACTAAAAAAGAAAAAAAGAAAAAAAACCAAAAAACCCCCAACAAATTGAAATAACCTTACCATTTCCAAAACTCTGTGTGAGGATTCACATTGAGGCTAACTTTTTTATGAGTGTTCAGTTGGCTTTGGCATGTTTACATTTACATAATCATTAGATTAATTGTATGTCTGTTTTGTTTTTTAGGGTCCTGTGAGAAACAAACTCCCTTGAAGGTAATAACATGTATATTTTATTTTGATTTATTAACTACATATTATATGAAATATAGGTTATTTATGAAACACTTTATTTGCAACCCCATTCAGCCAACCACTGAAATGAAAGAATCTGTTCCAGAGAAAGCACTAGGAACAAAGAACATACAAACATCCAGACCAGGTAAATACCTCTGTTGAGAAGTAGAATCTCACTGTGTTATCCAGGCTGAAGTGTGGTTGTGCAATCATAGCTCACTGCAACATGGGAGTCCTGTGCTCAAGGATAGGACTTGTCCTGCCTCAGCCTGTGGAGGAGCTGAGGTATGGGCTCCTGCCATGCAGCTGAACTAATTGTGACTTTTTTCCTGTAGAGATCTTCTCTCCCCTTCCCCTACGAGCTGGTGGCAAAGTCCTCGACTCAAGGCGTCCTTCCCCTGTGGCCTCCCTGAGTGCTGATATTGTAGGTGGGATCCAAGGTGCTGGGCCCAGATCAGGTAAATTTTGTAATGCAAATTTTGGTCTGGAAAGAATTGGAAATGCTTATAGTCTGCTCATAATTGTTTTTCCCAAATTTGATGGGAGGATTTGCCATAAATAATGCAAATATTATTATTTGTTTCCATATTTGAAATAATATGTTTACAAGTATAGGAAAACAAATTTGGAAAACTTAAGTTTTTGCTCATGTGTTTTCTGCTTTTAGTTCTGACCTCTAAAGTTGCAAAGTTGGAATCTCTATACTTTTTAGGGAGTCAAAGAGAGCTGTATGATCCTGCAGTATTCCTGTTTTTCAGATGCTTCTTGAATTCTTTTTTTTTATTTCTAGAGAATATTTTCTTTTTTTTCCTTTCTCTTTTTTTTTTTTTTTTTGAGACAGAGTCTCACTTTGTTTCCAGGCTAGAGTGAGTGCCGTGGCGTCACCTAGCTCACAGCCAACCTCAATAACTCCTGGCTCAAGTGATCCTCCTGCCTCAGCCTCCCGAGTAGCTGGGACTTACAGGCATGTGCCACCATGCCCGGCTAATTTTTTCTTCTATATATTAGTTGGCCCAATTATTTCTTTCTACTTTACGAGACAGGGTCTCGCTCTGCTCAGGCTAAGTTTCGAACTCCTGACCTTGAGTGAATCCACCCGCCTAAGCTCCAGAGAGCTAGGATTACAGGCGTGAGCCACACCCCGCTTTTTTTTTTTTTTTCTTTTTTAATGAGGACACTATACTGCGCAGCCGTACATGTGGTGGAAAAAGGAATATTTGTATGAACTATTATGTGAAAGTACTATGTTTGGTGCTGATCATTTGACAACAGTGTTCTCTATAGTGAAATTGATTATACATTCACACTGAAGTGAGTTCACACCCTGTGTACCTCTAAAATGTACAAAAGAAACCTAAGTACATGATAAATAGTTGTAGTTAATGATATATATGACCTATGTGTTGTGTTAGCAAGATACCCTAGCAGCCTTCTGCCATTGGCTTTGACATTTATCTTCCCAGCGGTCATCATTGCTTCTTGGAATGCAGATCACTGTTTTCCTTCAATTGACAAAGATTTGAGAATTGTATAGGTTGTACATTTCCATTTTAATTAAATTACTTGGAAAAGTATCTCACTTTTGAGATTTACTTCATGCTGGAGAACACATGCCCCTCTATTTTATATATCAGCATACTTCCGTCATGTTGCTGTCCTACACTAGAAAAGCAAAACGAAACAAAAAACAAAAAAATGAAAGAACTTTACCATTTTCAAAGCCTGGTGTGAGCATTCAGATTGACTAAATTTTTTATGAAAGTGCGGTAGCTTGCCTGTTGTACATTTATGTAATCATTAGTGTTAATTGTATGTCCCTTTTGCTTTTTAGGGTATTCTGAGAAACAACCTCCCTTTAAGGTAATAACATGTATATTTTATCTTGAATTATTCACTACATATTTTATGAAATATAGATTATTTATGAAACACTTTATTTGCAACCCCATTCAGCTAACCACTGAAATGAAAGAATCTGTTCCAGAGAGAGCACTAGGAACAAAGGACATACAAACATCCAGACCAGGTAAATACCTCTGTTGAGAAGTAGAATCTCACTGTGTTATCCAGGCTGAAGTGCAGTTGTGCAATCATAGCTCACTGCAACATGAAGTTCTGTGCTCAAGGGATCCCCCTGCCTCAGCCTGCTGAGGAAATGAGATATTGGGCTCCTGCTTTGAGCTGAACTAAATTGTGACTTTTTTCCTGTAGATATCTTCTCTCCCCTTCCCCTACGAGCTGGTGGCAAAGTCCTCCACTCAAGGCATCCTTCCCCTGTGGCCTCCCTGAGTGCTGATATTGTAGGTGGGATCCAAGGTGCTGGGCCCAGATCAGGTAAATATTGTAATGCAATGTTTGGCCTGGAAGGAATTACATTAAAATTTAGCAGTGCTTACAGTCTACTCATTCATACTTGTTTTTCCAAATTTGATGGAAGGATTTGCCATAAATAACGCAAATATTATTATTTATTTCCATATCTGAAATAAGATGTTTACAAGCATAGGAAAACAAATTGGGAAAACCTAAGTTTTTGCTCATATGTTTTCTGCGGTTATGTTCTGACCCTCTGAAGTTCCAAGGTTGGAATCTCTATACTTTTTAGGGAGTCAAAGTAGCATGACACTTTATTCCTGTGTGTCAAATGCTTCTTGAATTCTTTTTTTTTTTTTTTTTTTTTGAGACAGAGTCTCACTTTGTTGCCCAGGCTAGAGTGAGTGCCATGTCATCAGCCTAGCTCACAGCAACCTCAATCTCCTGGGCTCAAGCGATCCTACTGCCTCAACCTCCCAAGTAGCTGGGACTAACAGGCGATGGTGCCACCATGCCTGGCTAATATTTCTTGCATATATATATTTTGTTGGTCAATTAATGTCTTTCTATTTTGGTAGAGATGAAAGTTTGCTCAGGCTGGTTCAAACTCCCTGACCTCGAAGTGATCCCTGCCTCTGCCCCCAGAGTGCTATGGATGTACAGGAGGTGAGCCACCTCGCCCGACTCTTTTTTTATATAGAAATATTTTCTTTTTTTTCCTTTCTCTTTCTCTTTCTTTTTTAACATGTGGACGGTATACCAGTAGCCCACATGTGTGGGAAAGGAATATTTGTATGAACTATTATTGATGAAGTGTATGTTGTGCTGATCATTTGACACAGTTTTCTAATGTGAAATGATTATACAGTTCACCTGAAGTGATTCACACCTGTGTACCTCTTAAAATTACAAAGAAAACTGAAGTCATGAAAAATAGTTGTAGTGAGATGATATATAGATCCTGAGTGTTGTGGTACAAAGATACCTGCAGCCTTCTGCATTGGCTTTGACATTTATTCTCTTGGCTCATCATTTGCCCTTGGATGCAAGATCACTGTTTTTTCGTTCATTGACCAGCGATGTTTCAATTGGTATATAGGGTGTACATTTCCGTTTTAATTAAAATTATTTGAAAAGTAATCTCACTTTTGAGATTTTAACTTCATGTTGGACGAACCCTGCCCTCTATTTATATTCAGGCATACTTCCCGATCATGTGCTGCGTCCTAAACACTAGAAAGCAAAAAAAAAAAAAAACCCCAAAACAAAATGAAATAACCTTACCTTTTTCAAAGCCTGTGTGAGGATTCAGAATTGAGACTATTCTTCTTCTTCTGATACAAGAAGTCTCACGTTTGTGCCCACGCTAGGAGTGAGTGCCAATGGCGTCAGCCTAGCTCACAGCAACCTCCAAACTCCTGGGCTCAACAATCCTGCTAGCTTCACCTCCTGAGTAGCTGGGATGACAGGAATGCGCCCACCATGCGGCTAATTTTTCCTGATATATATATTAGTTATTAGTTTTGCCGATTAATTTCCTTTCTAATTTATAGTAGAGACGGGGTCTCGCTCTTGCTCAGGCGGGTTTCGAAAATTCCTGTCCCTCGAGCAATCGCCCACCCTCGCCTTCCAGAGAGCTAGGATTACCGGCCTGAGCCACAGCGCCCAAGCCCCGAAAGAAACTTAAGTTTTTTTAGGAACGTGCGGTAGCCTTGCCATGTTTACATTTATAATATTCATTTGTTAATTGTATGTCCTTTTGCTTTTTAGGGTCTTCTTGAGAAACAACCTCCTTTAAGGTAATTGTATACTTTTATCTTGAATTATTCACTCCATATTTTATGAAATATAGATTATTTATGAAAACTTTCATTTGCAACCCCATTCCAGCCTAACCACTGAAATGAAAGAATCTGTTCAGAGAGAGCCTAGGAACAAGGACAACTACAAACTCAGACCAGGTAAATACCTCTGTGAGGAAGTAGAATCTCACCTGTGTTATCCAGGCTGAAGTGCAGTTGGTGCCAATCATAGCATCACTGCAACATGGAATGCCTGTGCTCAGGGATTATCCGTCTCACCCTGCGAGTGTTCTGAGGTATGGGCTCCGCTTCGAAGCTGAACTAATTGGTGATTTTTTCTGTTAGAGATCTTCTCTCACCCTTCCCCTAACGAGCTGGTGGCAAAGTCTCTCCACTCAAGCATCCTTCCCTGTGGCCTCCCTGAGTGCTGATATTGTAGGTGTCCAAGGTGCTTGGGCCCAGATCAGGTAAATATTGTAATGCAAATTTTAACCTGGAAGGAATTACATTAAAATTAGCAGTGCTTACCAGTACTAACTCATTCATACTTGTTTTCCACAAATTTGATGGAAGGATTTACCATGAATAATGCAAATATTGATTATTTGTTTCCATATCTGAATATAAATGTTTAACACAGCATAGGAAAACAAATGGGAAAACCATAAGTTTTTGCTCATATGGTTTCTGCGGTATGTTCTGACCCTTGAATGTTCCAAGGTTGGAATCTCTATACTTTTAGGGAAGTCAAGTAGCATGACACTGCTTTATTCCTGTGTGTTCAAATGCTTCTTGATCTTTTTCTTCTTCTTTTTTTTTTCTTTATATCGTCTATTATGGGGTACAGTGTAAGGTTACTTATATTGCCTTATGCCCCCCCTCACTCCCTCGAGTAAGAGCTCAGGCATGTCATCCGCCCAAAATTGCAGCATCTACTCGTTATGTGTTGTATTACCCTCCCACTCCCCCTCCGACCCTCCTGACACCTGATAAATGTTACTTCCTATATGTTCCACTTAGGTGTTGATCCTTTAATACCCATTTGCTGGTGGAGTAATGTGATGATTTCTCCATTCTTGAAGAAATAGTTCACTATACAATGGTTCCAGCTGTAATCTCAGGATTACAAGAGGTGCTATATCACATTTATTTCTTAAAGCTGACGTAGTTAATTCCATGGTATAACATATACCACGTTTTAAATATTTATTTTATTTTATTTATTATTTTTTTTGAGACAAGATCTCCTTTGTTACCCTGGCTAGAGTGGTGCCGTGCGTCAGCCTAGCTCACAGCAACTTCAAACCCTGGGCTTCAAGCGATCCTCCTGCCTCAGCCTCCCAAGTAGCTGGACTACAGGCATGCACCACCATGCCCGCTAATTTTTTGTAATATATATTTTTTTTAGTGTCAATTAATTTCTTTCTATTTTTAGTAGAGACAGGGTCTCCGCTCAGGCTGGGTTTCGAACTCCTGACCTCGGAGCAATCCGCCCGCCTCAGCTTCCCAGAGTGCTAGGATTAACAGGCTGAGCCAACACGCCGGCTACCACGTTTTTATAATCCACTCATGAATTGATGGGCCACTTGGTTGTGTTCCATAAGCTTTGCAATTGTGAATTCTTTTTTTTATTATAAGAATATTTTAATTTTTTTTTCTTTCTCTTTATTTTCTTTCCTTTAAATGAGGACAGTAATAACCGGTAGCTCACATGGATGGGGAAAAAGGATGTTTGTATAGCTATATTGTGGAAAGTATATGTTGGTGCTGATCGAATTTGAACCAACAGTTTCTCTAACGGTGAAATTGATTATACATTCACCTGCAAGGAGTGCACACCTGTGTACCTCTAAAATTACAAAATAAATTGAAGTACATGAAAAATAGTGTAGTGAGATGATATAGATATCCTGATGTGTTGTGTTAACGTTGGGAAATACCCTGCAGCCTTCTGCCATTGGCTTGACATTTATACTCTCAGGGTCATCATTTGCTTCTGTGGAATGCAGATCACTGTTATTCATCATTGACCTAGTGCATGTTCAAATTGTATAGGTGTACATTTCCGTTTTAATAAATCAACATGAAAATAAGCTCACTTTTGAGATTTTAACGTTCCATGCTAGAGAACCCTGCCCTCTATTTTATATCAGCATACTGCCGTCATGTTGCTGTCATAACACAGAAAGCAAAAAAAAAAAGAAAAAAAAATGAAAGAACCTTACATTCTTTCAAAGTCCGGTGTGAGCATTCAGATTTATATGAATGTTGTTGGCTTTGCCATGTACAATTATGTAGTTCATGTACTATAAATGTATGTCCATTTTCCTTTTTAGGTAATGTTCCTGACAAACCAATCCCTTGAAGGTAATAACATGTATATTTTATTTTGAATTATTGCAACTACATACTGTATGAAGGATATAGATTATTTAATGAAAAATACTCCTGTTTGCAACCCCATTCAGCCACAAACCTGAAATGAAAGAATCTGTTCTTAGAGAAAGCACTAAGGAACAAAAGGACATAACAAACATCCCAGACCCAAGGTAAATACCCTGTTGAGAAGTAGATCTCACTGTGTTATCCAGGCTGAATTGCAGTTGTGGCAATCATAGCTCACTGCAACATGAGTCCTGTGCTCAAGGGATCCCTGCCTTCCAGCCTGCGAGGAAATGAAGATACTGGGCCTCCTGCTGTCGAAGCTGAACTTAAATGTGACTTTTTTTCCTGTAGATTCTTCTCTCCCCCCTTCCCCTACGAGCTGGTGCAAAGTCCTCACTCAAGGCATCCTTCCCCTGTGGCCTCCTGAGTGCTGATATTGTAGGTGGGATCCAAGTGCTGGGCCCAGATCAAGGTAAATTTTGTTGTGATGCAAATTTGCCTGGAAGGAAGTAACATTAAAATTTAGCCAGCTGCTTAACAGTCTACTCATTCATACTTGTTTTTCTAAATTTGATGAAGGGTTGCCATAAATAATGCAATATATCATTTATTTCCATATTTGAAATAGATGTTTACAAGCATAGGAAAACAAATTGGGAAAACCTAAAGTTTTTGCTCATATGTGTTTTCTGCGGTTAATGTCTGACCCCTTCTGAAGTTCCGAAGGTTGGAATCTCTATACTTTTTAGGGAGTCAAAGAGAGCAGTTTGATCTGGAGTATTTCCTGTGTTTCAAAATGCTTCTTAAATTGTATTTTTTCATTCATAAAGAATTTTTTTTTTTTCTTTCCTTTCTCTGTCTTTTTTTTTTCTTTTAAAATCAAGGACAGGTATACCGGTAGCGTACATGTGTGGGGAAATAAGATATTTAATAATGAACTCATTATTTGGAAAAGGGGTAAGTTGGGGCCGATCAGTTCACAACAGTTTCATCTAATGGAAATTGATTATATCATTCACCTGAAGTGAGTTCACACCTGTGACTCCTAAAATTACAAAAGAAAATGAAGTACAAGGTAAAATAGTTGTAGTGAGATGAATATATATGAATCCTGATGTGTTTGGTGTTAAAGATACCTGCAGCCTTCTGCCATTGGCTTTGAACATTATCCCTCACACGTCAATCATTTGCTTCTTGGAATGAAGATCACTAATTTTCTTCATTTGACAACATCGTTCATTGGTATAGGTGTACATTTCCGTTTTAAATCAAAATTATTTAAAAAGTACTTACTTTTGAGATTTTAACTTCAATGTTGAGAACACCTGCCCTCCATTTTATATCAGCATATTTCCGTCATGTTGCTGCCCTAACGACTAAGAAAAGCAAAAAAAAAAAAAAAAAACAAAAAAACAATGAAGAAGCTTAACATTTAAAGCCTGTAGGTGAGGTTTCAATTTGAGATAATTTTATGAAGAGCAGTGGCTTGCATGTTTACATTTTGAATCATGTGCATAATTGTATTCCGTTTTCTTTTCAGGGTCCTTCGTGAGAAACAACCTCCCTTGTAAGGTAATAACAATGTATATTTATCTTGAAATTATTACTACATTATTGATATGAAATATAGATTCATTTATGAACACTTTGATTTGCAACCCCATTCAGGCCAAACCACTGAAATAAAAGAATCCGTTCCCAGAGAGAGCACTAGGAACAAAGAACATACAAACATCAGACCAGGTAAATACCTCTTTGAGAGTAAATCCTCACTGTGTATCCAGGCTGAAGTGTGGTGTGTATCATAGCTCCTGCAACCATGGAAGTCCTGTGGCTCAAGGAATCCCCTGCCTCAGCCTGCTGAGGAAATGAGTATGGGGCCTCTGCTTCTGAAGCTGAACTAATTGTGACTTTTTCCTTTGTAGAGTAATTTCTCTCCCCCTCCTCACGAGCTGGTGCAAATCCTGACTCAGGCTCCTTCCCCTGTGGCCTCCGCTTGAGTGCTGATATTGTAACGGCGGGATCCAAGGTGCTGGGCCCAGAATCAGGTAAATTTTGTGAGAAATTTTGGCCTGGAAGGAAGTACTTAAAAATTTAGCATGCTTATAAGTTACTCATTCATACTTGTTTTTTCTAAATTGATGGAAGGATTTTCCATAAATAACGCAGAAATGATTATTATTTGATTCCATATTTGAAATAAGATGTTTTACAAGCATAGGAAAACAAATTTAAAAACCTAAAGTTTTTACTCCATATGTTTTCTACTTTTAGTTCGAACCCTCTGAAATGTTCCTAATTTGGAATCTCTGATACCTTTTAGGGAATCAAAGAGAGCACTGAATACTTGAGTATTTCCCCTATGTAGCAATATGCGTTAAATATATATATATTTTATTCATAGATATTATTTTCTTTTCTTTCTTTCTCTTTTTTTTTCTTTTTAAAAATCAGACAGTATACGCGGGTAGCCCCACTGTGTGGGAATAAGAATATTTGTTAACTATTATCATCGGAAGGATAAAGTCCGGCTTGATTCAATTGACAACGTTTTCTCCAATGTGAAATTGAATTATGCATTCCACCTGAGTGTGTTGACACCATGTGTACCTCTAAAATTACAAAAGAAACCTGAAGTACGATGTAAATAGTTGTAGCGAGATGATACTATATGATCCTGATGTGTTGTGTTAAAGATACCCTGCCACCTTCTGCCATTGGCTTTGACCCTTAATCCTCTCAGCCCGTCCATCCATTTGCTTTCTGGAATGCAGATCACTGTTTTCTATTGACAAGCAATGTTCAAAATTAGTATAGGTGTACATTTCCAGTTTAATTAAAATTACTTGAAAAGTAATCTCACTTTTGAGATTTTAACTTCATGCTGGAGAACACCTACCCCTGTATTTTATATCAGCATACTTCCCTCATGTTGCTGTGCTAACACTAGAATAGCAAAACGAAACCAAAATGAAATAACCTTACCATTTTCAAGCCCTGTGTGAGGGATTCAGATTGAAGACGTAAGTTCTTTAATGAATGTGCAGTGAGGCGCTTTTGCCATGGTTCATTCTATAATCATGTAGTGTTAATTGTATGTCCCTTTGCTTTTTTAGGGTCTTCTGAGAAACAACCTCCCTTGAAAGGTAATACATGATAATCTTTATCGTGAATTATTCACTTGTATATTATAATGAAGATATAGACTTCATTTATGAAACACCTTGTTTTTTAAAAAACCCCATTC